TTGACATGCGACTTTTCGTCTAAACTTTGCCTGGCACTTGATATGTGAGAGAGATGCACAAGAGGCACATTTATGAACTTTTTCCATTTGGAACGGAAAAAGTAACTCCTTGTCGTCTTCACAGTAGACGCAGGTGGCAGCGAACTGGCGACAGTGCTGAAAGAATAGTTATGGTGAGTGATATAAATGAAAAAAAACGCAATTTAGCAAAATTCGACAAAAATTCCACTAACAACAGGTTGTTAGTTGATTATACAGAGTCTAAACTCGCAGTACTAGTCGTGGACACGGGCGTGTCCACGACCAGTACTAGGCGCAGCCGTGATAACAGTGTAATATTGCCCCGTTTCCGGTTAATTATGGCACGCCAGGGCTATGTTAAATAATTTTGCCAAATACGGCTCCTTTCCCTTTTTAGGAGCCGATGAGGTGTCTGGAAAAGGGGCGGATGAGGTGTCTAGAAAAGGGGCGGATGAGGTGCCGAGGAAAGGGGGCGAACTTGAAAAAAAATGCTCTCATCAACAAGGCATGCCCTGCCTAATTGTAAGACTCCAACCTTACGCAGCCGTCGCCACGCTCAAACTGAGCCATAAACACTCGCCCTCCAGCGCAGCGATATGTGATTGGACAGAAATCCCTCTACGAGCAAACTAAGCCCTTATGCACTTATGGCAGACAATGTGCTGGATGTGGGGGGAGAGCAATAATTTGAGCTTCACTGACGGAAAGGCACAGTGCCTGGATGTGTGTTCATACCTCGCGATACTATCGCGCGATCTAAACGTTCGAGCGACTCGTTGGCCCATTCCGGACCATGAAGTAAGACGCGTTCTCATCACGTTGCTCAAGTTGTGAGCCAACACCATTCAAGTGGGCGAGGAACCGTTGCCTCGCCTCCCGATAAACGCACCCATTGCTCCCATCGTAACAAAGTCGAAACTTCATCAGAAAATACTAGAATTTGCTCGACAGCAACAAAAAGAATACCTCACAGACTTCTATATGACATCTGGCAAAATGGGCTATTGGTTCGAGAAGTGAACTCATGTCCTTATTATGCACCCGTATAAGATCCGACAGAGAGAATAGGTCCTGTGTGTGAAGTAGGTGCTGTTCCAGAGAAGTGAACAGCGTTCGAAGGCTGAAATAAGATCACAACATCAGAAAGCCATACCCATCAACGGGAAAAGATCGGTAAAATGCTCTCAAAGAGGTGTTAAACATATAAGTGCAAAAGATAGTGTGAATCAAGAGGCTATCTCTTCGTTTAATTACAGCCAGAAAAAGAAAGGAACCGGATCATGTAAAGAAATGCAATTTCCTGTAACTGAAAAGGATAATTCGCAGCAGCTAGGAGCTTCAGAGTTCACAGGCCCACCAAAGTGAGACCTATTGTTTTGCCATGCACCAGCAAAAGATGGTTTCGAAAAGACGAACTGTCTCCATCCTCCAAGCCGAACAGGACCCGCCTTCTAGCGCGAAATTTGGGCACGTTTGATAACCCCAGCGAGGGGTCGTATTTGTTCGTTGAAAGCAAAGTCGGGCTTGCTCTTGAAATGCATATTTTCGGTTGTAGACTTTTTCTCGGATTTTTCCTGTTCTCCTACTTCAAGTGCTCTATGTATCCTCGATGGTGGCCCATTTTTTGGGAAAGAAGGCGGGAATTTGGGAAAATTCAGGTAGTGAGACTGAAGGGGGATGGGAAAGGGGGAGAGGTCGTATCAGAGAAACAAAATTTTGACGGGGATTGTATTTTGTGAAGTTTTCCCCCAACGGCAGGATGCGCCCTGCGCACAGGCCTTCAATGTCGTCAACAATATTTGGGCCTGCCCGAAAGTAAAGGGAATGAACCCGAAAAAAGGGCAAACTTCATGTTTCTTTGGGGGTTCCTTCCCTTTTCGACTCGTAGAAAACCTGTACACTTTTCAACAACCGGACCGTAACCCCTCAAATTCACCCATACCCACGAATATTCGACCACTGATCACGACAATCAGCAGCGCTTTTGACGGTAGATCACTATAGTCAGGAGCGGATGGCGCGTACGCGACGACATTTGGAATCTTTTTTCGTCGTTCAGTGTGGATTTCAGGCCACGGCCCCTACTCACTGTACGTGCACTCCATGTCCCGGAGATGGGAAAGGCGTGGTTCCCTACTTCATTTGAACGTAAGGTGTTTCCGCTTTTGGGGCGATCCCTTCATCTGGGTCATTCCAATCATGTTTGTTCAGCATAAAACAGGATGAAAGTCGTCTTAAATGGTAATATTCTGAAAACAACGCGTCTTACGCCATGTTCAAGAAAACGTACGCCCTCTTCAAATTTGGGATATAGTGTATATGTGTACTCATGCAAATTCCAGACTAGTAGAAAACCAGAACGCAACGTAGATCAAAGCCTGTACAGTAGTAAGGAAAAATCGGTAATACTGGAAACACTTACTGTCCGATTTTCGTCTCTGTATTCTCGGCATCAGGGCATCCTTTGACAAAATCCCACATATATGAAAGTTTCTCTCGTAACACAATCACATGCTTGAGTACCCGTATTTTTTCGACCTAAAACCAAGTCGACTAGTTCGCCTAATTTGAGCGCTTACAACTATTACAATTACCACTAACCATTTGTGGAGCGACAACGTTCACATGAATTGCAGGCACATCACGAACTTCTAATAAAAAATGTAAGGCAAGATCACAAACAGGAAACTCGCTGAAAAGATTGCTCTCACATCCAAGGAAGTTGGAAAAAAAATAGAAAAATTACGCATATGAATATGTAGCAATATGACGCATTTTTATAAATAGTTCCTGCGATCACGGTAAATCCGGTGA